TATTAGATCAGAAACTCTTGAACCAGGAACAGCTATTCCTGCGGAATCAGAGGATAAATATCGGGAGCAGAATAATAGGCCCAGTAAATCCCCTTGGCCAGAAAGTTCCTCATGAGACTTCTTCATGCTCTGTGACGCACGTTCAAAAGGAGGCATTTTAAATTACTTGATCACCACAGCAATAGACACAGATCTGTTTAAAGTCAGCTGACGAGTCACTTTTTCCAGTTTGATTGCAATAACTATTGTCACATTGGAATACTTTGACTATAAATTGCACAGATATGATGGGCTAAGGCTGCAAGTATTTTCCATGACAAGTCACTTCAGCTTTTAAATTGTGTTATTTTCATCATACTTAGGTATGTCTGGTGTCCTGTTCCCACAAACATTTGAGGAAATGGAGTTGATTAACTGAGTTTTAATGTCTAGCTTATGGTTAGTTGCAAGAATATACTTTTTTTTGCATTCTATTCAGCATTTTTTACCAGGAAATGGGTTGGTAGACATTCAGTCAAAAGAAAGAATGCACTTAGTCTTACCAGATGGACAAGCACAGAGGTGCCACGTAAGAGCGATCAATTCACATTTGAAATTGTTGGAAAGCAGTGTATGTAAGGAATTGATGACCTTTTTATGAGTATAGCTACAGTTTTCTTACCCCTTTGTAAAAATAATGTGCTCAAGCTAGTTACCTTTTATCTTTCATATGATTATCACCCATTTAAGATGGCTGTGTTATTTTTATGTATGTTATAAAAATGTGACTTGCCCTATGTAAATGCGGCAGCAAAGCTCTTAATATTGTTAGTTCTGTGCTTTAGTGGTTAACTTGCTGTAAATATAAGTCCTGTTTTAGAGAGAATTTACAGCTAAAATTAAAGTCTCAAGATGCACTGAGTGTTGAGACACTACACGGAGGCATTTTCCAATGTGTAAGTTTGATACAGAGCACTTTTGGTTCCTTTTAATGTTTGTATCTCAATTAACTGAGTCACATACAGAAACATAGTGTGAAACTGAAAATGAATTTAATTTTAATGAACGACTTCTTTACCAAAACCATCTTTCACCTTTCAGATTTATGTGTTATGCCACTGACTACTTAACTTCAGTTTACTCTCATCCATTTCCATCAGTAGAACTAATTTTCTGGAATGTCCTGTTTTACTCATACTGAATTGCTGTTGAGTTTCATTTGAGCTCATATGCTTTATCGGCCCAAAAGATCATTATGTGGTCCCTGGGACTGGATAATGCTGAGCAACTGCTGTTGTACCTCTATATCTGAGGCACATCACTGAACACACCTGCTTGGTAGCTCTTGGAATCAGACTGAGGTTACTGTAGAATAACGTCTTTCCTATTTATCCTATAAACACAATCCTCACATGTTTTACTTGATAAATAGGAGGAGATTAAATAGTTAATGTTGTAATAGTAAATTGAACCATAAGTATTTGAGAGGTAGATAATTATACTTTGTTTTCAGTGATGTTTTGGCTGGACACAAAGTTCAATTTTTCCAGTGATATTTGCTTACATTTCTCATTGCAGAAACTTCGAAGTCATGAGCAGAGTTTGTTAATAGTTCGTGTGTTAAGCGGGTAGATAGGGTTTCATGTTTCTAAACTTGTAACTGAGGAGATAGGCAATGGAAGTTATTAAGCAGAGTTTTGCTACCATTATAAATAGAAATAATTCTCAAGCAATTTTTGTTCCTATTAGATTTTTTTGACTTTTGGTGAAAGGTAGCAAACTACAAAAAAGTATCAGGTAAGAGTAAAAAGCCAACCACTTAATTTTTTTCCATTGGTCTTTTTTAAAATCCTTATTTTAAATACAGCTTTGTATTGACATTAAAACATTTCAATTTTTAGGGTTTATTTTGAAGTAAATAGCCTTTTTTTTTTTTAGCATAACATGAAATTATTCATAGTATACAGATTCTAGCAATGGCAAATTTGTCCCTGTGAGGTAAAATTCATCTTAGAAAAGCAAGGTGGGGTGAACTTGTGAACAGTAGGAATTGTCAACACACAAAAAAGTGGCCAAGTTACGAAGAAAAGTGGTTGTGACTTCAACAGAATACCACAGTCTGTCATTGATGAAAAGATAAAAGATCTTCATTAAGGTAGCAACTGTTCTCATTATCACCAAATGTTTTTTGAAAGCCATGAAGAATGAAAATAACAAGTTACAGAGAAGAAAATGCTTCTCCGATGTCCAAAAACTGAGAAACAATGGAGTTGGGGAATATCTGTTAATAGATAGGTTTTGGCAATGCACATACCTGCGTTCATACAAAAGCTTTCTCCAATACTGTAGCATATACCATGCAGTACTCAGCTCCTGTTAGGTAAGAGAACTGTGGGCTCAGCTGCAGCGACTGTCACCCAGAACATAATTCACCATTTTGTAAAGGATTTGCTGTGTCACTGAACAGAAGACAAATGCTGGTAGACTTCACTAGGAGACACATGGTTATTTTCAAATGCCATGACGAATCCTTTTGAGGAACATATGCCTGATATGAGAAGCTTGATTCATTATCTGTAAACTGTGTATCATTCTTTTGTTGTGAGTGAACTGTACTGTTGCACAGGGTACAGTAAGCTCATATTACTGGTTGCTGGAGGGGGAATTTAAGTATTAAAAAAATGGGAAGCATGTGGTGGAGGTGGCTGATTAGCATCCTGGCTAGCATAAAGTATTTGTGCCATGACACCAGCAAAATTCAGAGTTTCTGAGCTGTGGTGGTTTCAGTTGTGGGAATAGCAACAATGTGATAACAACAAAACTGAGGTTAGTCTGGTGTGGAAGTTAATGTCTAGAATCAATATAGCATCTGAAAGGAGCATTTCTCTTAGTTGAGGGAGAGAGATGCTTGAATGGCTTTAAAGCACTTTGTTACTGCTTTTCCTTATACACTAAGGATTAAATGATCGTGGGTATCTGGGTCGTACAGATTACTGAAAAAAAAGAGTAAAATATCTATTATTTTAGACTTACTTTATTGTTCTCTTGGCTTAGTCTTGGCTTCATGTTAGTTCAGAACATGGCTCTGTACCTCTGTTTCTCCTTCCCTGTTTTTTCTGTCTAATCTCTATTTAGTCTAAACTTTCTAAGCAGGAACTGCATCCTTATAGAGTACTAGAATATCCTGAGTTGGAAGGCCACACAAGGCTCATCAAAGTCTAACTCCTGGCCCTGCACAGGACAACCCCAAGAATCACACCATGTAACTGACAGCATTGTCTTAGCACTTCTTAAGCTCTGTCAGGCTCTGTCAGTACCGTGACCACTGCCCTAGAGTGCCTGTTCAGTGCCCAGCCATCCTCTGGGTGAAAAACCTTTTCCTAATATCCAACCTAAACCTCCCCTGACACAGCTTCATATCATTGCCTCTGGTCCTGTCACGAGTCACCAGAGAGAAGACATCAGTGCCTGTACCTTCACTTCCCCTCATGAGGAAGTTGGAGGCGATAATGAGGTCTCCCCTCAGTCTTCTTTTCTCCAGACTGAACAAGCCAAGTGACCTCAGCTGCACCTCACATGGTTTGTCCTCTAGGCTCTTCACAATCATCGGGTGAAGAATCCTAATATCTAACATAAATGTCCTCTGATACAGCTTCATGCCATTCTCGTGGGTTCGGTCACTGCTCACTAGAGAGAAGAGATCACTGCCTGCCCCTCTGCTTCCCTTTGTGAGGAAGCTGTGGAAAGTGATGAGGGCTCCCCTCAATCTCCTCTTCTCCAGGCTGAACAAACCAAGTGACCACAGGCACTCCTCATATGGCTTCCCCTGTAGGCACTTGTCCTCTGATACAGCTTCATGCCATTCTCGTGGGTTCGGTCACTGCTCACTAGAGAGAAGAGATCACTGCCTGCCCCTCTGCTTCCCTTTGTGAGGAAGCTGTGGAAAGTGATGAGGGCTCCCCTCAATCTCCTCTTCTCCAGGCTGAACAAACCAAGTGACCACAGGCACTCCTCATATGGCTTCCCCTGTAGGCACTTCACCATCTTCATAGCCTGCCTTTGGGTGCTCTCCAATAGCTTTATATTGTTCTTATATTGTGCTGCCCAAAACTGCACACAGGACTCAAGGTGAGGCCTAACCAATGCAGAGTAGAGAGGGTGTTTTTGTGATGTTTTGTTTTGTTTTACTGTTGGTTGGCCAGTCAATCAGCTAGGTCCTTGGGATGATTAGGCATTCCAGAAGTGATGTTGGTGGTAATTAACACTTTAAATATGATGAGGGACTGAACTGATGTTCTCCTAATGCTGGAAAGGTGTTCTCCCATAACTCATAACACAGCACAGGTTTCACTACACCTGATGGGTTTACTGATACATACTGGAAATTAATTCATACAGTATATTCAGCTCTTGCTGTGGTGATTTGGTGTGTTCTTTAATGTAATCTACACACCACAAACACTAATGCAGCTTGGCCTGGCATACCTAGAATCCCTTGAGTGGAAAATTAAATGTCCATTGGTTCTACAGCTCTTTGAAAGCAATTTTTATGGCCAGGTTCATGACTTCATCTGTTGTCAGAGTTCTGTCTGCAGAAGTAGAGACAAAATTTACAGACATGCATGACTTTGTTCTTGGCTGAAACCAGCACTATGAGCTACTCAACAAATGCTTCGCCTTTATGTAGATATTCCCCCTAATTCCTACCAAGGCATGCAACACCACTAAACTCTGTGAACTTAATCTGTAGGAAAGCTTGATGAAAATGTGGCTATCATTTCACAAAAGTCTAAGTTTATTTGGAGATTGGGAGATGGTATGTTAATCCCAGCACTCGGAAGTGTTAATTCTGTTCTGCTAAATTGAGAAACTGTCATTCTTCATCGGGTTACAGTATGTCCTCTGCAAAGCTTGTGCCTTTATTGTGTTTGAAACTTATTCTGTGGTTTATGGTGAGTTGTTTGGCAAGAATTAAAAGTTATGTATCTGTCTCCATACTTAATCTAGGGTAGACTAATGAATGAGATTTCCTAGATTCCACTTGGATTTACTGCTATTGCTGGTTATTACTACTGCTGGTGATTCCCTGTGCCAACAGGTCTCTGGTATGTTCTGTCTTTCTGTCTTGTATCTTCTTTTGTTCTTAAACCTTACCACTCCAACCAGTCAGTGCATGTAAAACCCCATACATTAGTCAGCAAAATGTATGGAAATAATTCCCTTCCTCTATTAGATTTAAGCAACTTAAATTGGTTTCACTAGGAGGGGTCACAGAAGAATTCAGTGACATGTACACAACTTTATATGAGAATGTGACTTTATAAATGCATTTGTTACTGCTGTAAGAATTACGTTTTCAAAAGCAGTGACAAGTTACATCCTTGGATAAAGTGACATGTAAAAAGGGTAACAGTAGATGGCAACATACACAGTCTTTTGTCTGAGTTTGATGTACATCTCTAAGACAATTATTTGTATTTAAAAAGAAGACATCAATGGTTAATAATGACAGAGAGATAAGTACTTGTAAGTACCCATGTCCCTAAATTGCAGGGAGAACAATTTCTTAGTATCTTCACAGAAAAACTGTCTTCAGGAAGATGTAAAAGAGCTGCTCTCTGTATCTCAGTCAAGCAAAGATCAGCAGAACTATAAAGACAAAAGACCAAATGTAGAAATTCATACTAAGCATTCTGGCTATTAATGTAAATATTGTTTAAGAGCACTTGCTCTTTGCAGGCTCTGAACAACATTGCTCTAAGCTCAGATTTACCAGTCTAGAGGGGACCCATATGGTCATGGTGGTTGTCTTCTGTAGGTAAAAATGTAAGGGTGTTGTCACTGCCCTGTCTTGATTGCTACTAGAAGGTGCTGGAGCGGTTTGATGTCATCCAGATACTGAAATCCAGATATATTGTGTAAATCTTGTAGGTGTTGTAAGAGCCACTGGGCTAATCTAGTATTGTGCAGGAAACCATTCTGTATGCTGATGGGGGAGGCCTGTAGTGAAAAAGAAAGCTTGATACTGCATTTGAACATGCAAGTGTCACCCACATGATGACTGCCATAAATTTGTTTCTCTCAGATTTTACACTCTGTTTCCTCTTTACATTATTTTTGTGAAGTTCCTGCATAATTTGATGAGTACTGGAAGCATAGGTGATACTTATTTCTGTTTATTCTCGCTCTGAAGTTTATCTCAATTTGTTCTCTGGCTTTCCATTATGTGACTTTGAAGTCTTTCAATAAACACTGTGTAAATGCTCTGAAGGCAGGTTGGAGTTGGGGTGTAATTTTGTTGTGTTTTGGTTGAGATGTGGTTGTTTTCTTTTAATATGCCATAGGGTTTCACTGTTGGTACTGTTTTGTATGCTGAATTAGATGGTTTTTTAAGTTCTGCAAGACTACCCTTTTTGTTTGTAGAGTATACAGGTAGTAACAGTAACAGATTTAGAGCTGCAGTGAATGTAAAGCCATGCCTCCTGGTGATATGTATCTGTGGGTCTCTAGAAATAGATGAGAATAACAGGTGTTCATTGTTTTTCAGATGTTGAATTCAAGTTTCTGTCCCGTTCTACATGTGAATGGCATTATGATGCCTGTACAAGCCCTTGTTTTAAGACATGCAGGGATCCTTTGGGGAAAACCTGTCAGGAAGTACCAAAGTAAGTATTTGTCTTTTTATAGACAAGTGTGTCATTTGGGCAATATACTTATGCAGGATAATGAGAATATGAGGGACCAGATGTAAGCTTAGTATATCAGGACTGTGTGTGTAAGGAGGTAAGTGAAAGAAAAAAGAAATGGAGTAAAACCTGCTGCTGTAGCTACATAAAAGTGATGTTTCAGTTGTTAGTGTACAGAAGTGATTCTGGAATGACTAGTATATTTGTAACTTCAATCTGGGGGGGAATTATAGAGTATTAGTAAAGAGGTTATTACAAGTTTGCTTCAAATACTTGTGCCCCTACTTTTCTATTATGCCATTTTGACAGCCATATCTGTCTTTGCTTTCTTCCTCCCAGTTGGAATTTTTGCTAAATCTGGCAAAACTGGGGTTTGGATTTTGCATTTAAAAATGCTTGATACTTAAGCAATAGTATTCACTATTGAACCTGCATCTATTTATTTCAAAGGCTGAATATCACAGAGTTCATGCTTTAGCTTAGGTCTGAGTGAGAACTGAAGTCATGGCAATGACATTTTGAAGCAGAAACAGGTTGTCTACTTAAACATACTTTATACGTAAATTCTTCATTTGTAAAAGTAAATGCACAATCCAGAAGATACTGTTCAGCTAGTTGATACTAAATGTTTTTCTTTTAGAGTGGAAGGATGTGTCCCTGCCTGTCCTCTCAATATGCTGCTGGATGAAATCACTCAAAGATGCGTGTATTTTGAAGACTGTATGTCTGAAAATTATATATATTATGTGTTATGCTTATTAGTTTCTTAGCTCTTTAGCCGTAGTCATCAGTGCCTACATTTGTGTAACTATGACCTTAGTTACATGAATCTTGAGCTTACTAAACATGCACTTTAGTTAAAATAATTTCATTCCTCAAAAATGAGACAAATTTTAAACTAAGAAGGGTGTTTTTTCTTCATGAAGCATTTCAGTAACATTAGATGTCACGGCAATGATTTAATGAATTTGTCTATGAGTTTTAGAAGTTTGAAGGCAATGGAAAAGATCAGTTATATGAGTTAACCTACAAATCTGCTAGCTTCTTGACTATAATATTTCATAAATTTAAGACTGTTCTCTCATGTCTGATTTCAGGTATTGAACCTGCAGATGATAGTCCACCTTTGTCTCCCAGCATTCAAACACCAGCAGTTTCACACATAACTTCAAATGCAAGTTTGACAGTGATCAGTGAAGCAGTAACTTCACTTCCTGTACCTGAAGCAAAGGATATGGAAATAACACTTGCTTCAAAATTGCAACCCTCTGCAACTACAGGGAAAATTGAATTTTCAGCTGTTACATCTAATACAACACTTCCAATCATAAGTTTATCATCAAATATTTCTTCACAGCCAACAGAAACAACTTCTGGGAGAAGCACTACAGCAGTGACTGAGACATCAAAATCTAGTCTAAGCTTGTCTGCTTCTGTTGACATTTCTCCTTTGCTTCCTTCTACTGTCAGTTCAGAAGCTTCCACAAGGATGCAACTGATCAGTAGTGGTTCCACTAAATTATTGAGGGCTACAGAACCTCAGACAGTAACTGCTACACATGCAGTGACTACAAGCACAGAATCAGAAGGCAAACCAATTGCTACTTCTATTTTTACTGGAGCACCAGTTATACTTGGAACATCTAAAATAATGGAGATACCAGAAATAGCCACAACACCTCCCATGAAAGAAGTACAAGTAAAACCAGAACGACCTACAACTTTTACACCCAGTTCATTTGAATCAGTAACAGAAAAAACTACTGCATATCTGCCACAGCTTTCCACATCACCACCTCTGGGTGTGCCTTCATATACATCACCAGTAAACTTAACAGTAACTCCAGAAGGAGCAAAAATAAGTGTAGGACAGTCTTCTAGCACAGTAGCTAATGTTACAGTAACATCACCTTTTCCTGTGCTCACTACTTTGCTAAAACCAGTATCTTCAGCAATAACAAAAGCAGCAGCTGTTTTAACCAAACAAAGCATGAAGACTACATTTTTACCAACATCCATACCACCTATTTCATTAGGAAAGGCAATTACAGAACCTCCTCTTGCAATGGTTCAACACTTGACTGGTACTGCAGAGGTACCTTTCACTATAGGTACAGAGACAACAACTCTGCAAACTCAAGAGACATCATCAACACCACCTTTGGTATCATTTACAACCCATAAAAAGGAAATTCCCCAAACAACATCTCATGTGGAGCATATGTCAAGTTCCTATTTCCCTCCCTATTCACTACTCCCTAGTTTTACAACTGAAAAATCCTTCACTCTTTCTACAAAAAGATCTTCAGTTTCTGTTCCTACACCTTCTTCTCCAGCTTCAGGTGAATTAAAAAAAACATTTAAAACTGTTTCAACTACAGGATATCCCTTAGATATTGTTCTAAACACAACAGAGTTCCTGACTACATTATACACTAAACATCCTGTTGTGGCTGAGACTATCAGAGTGACACCTATATCTGTTGAGGTAACATCCAAAATAACATCCCCTTTTGAACTAGCAGCAAAGTCAACTTTATTTCCTGGAAAAACACCTACTGAATACAAGTCAGCTCTGGTCTCAAGTACGGTGAAGACAAGCACTTCAGCATATTCAGATAGTGTTACCACATCAGCAATGAAAACCAAAGAAACCACCACAGTTCCTTTTGTAGCTACCAAGTCATCTCAAAGAACATCTATCACTGGAGCTCCACTTACTCTCCTTAGTGGAACTGAAACCACGTTGTTGAAAACACGGCCTGATAAATCACAAGTGGAAAGTATTACTAGTATCTCTACTAGAAAGCCATCTGGTTTTACCTTTTCACCATCAAGTTCTTTAATCTCTTCAAACATTTCTCTTCCTTCACTACCCTCAGATGGAAAAGAAGCATCACTGACAGCTCTCAGTCCCATGTATACATCCCATGAAACAATCTCTTTACATCCAAGAACAACTGCAGCAAAATCCATGTTAACAACAGAAAAGACCTCTCCAGTCCAGACTTTCTCTGTAACAGAACAATCAAGTCCAATAACAACAGTATCATATGAAAAATCACCAGGCAAAGCCATTTTGAATATCACTAATACCACAGTCTCCCCACACTCTGAATTCAGCAGTCAACCCATATCAACCAAAAAGGTAATGACAGGCAAAGAAAAATCCTCTCCATCCCCTTCTGTTGTACTTCCAGTAACAAAGTCTTCTGACACCTTCTCCACCTCTCAGTATCAAGCAGATAAATTAGTTTCTTCACCTTCTTTGATACAACTGATACCAGAAGTAACAACCACACCAAAACATCCAGTAGAAACTAAAATAGTTCCTACAGCATTGAAACCGACAGTCAAAAGTATAACAGATACAGTGAAACTTACAGCAGCTGCAGCTCAACCATCCCTTCCTCCATCCTCAGTAGGCCCCTTCTCTTGGCAGACATCTTCAGGAGATTCAGTACAGACCACAAAGACCATGGCTATACCACATTTTTCTACTCAGAGGGCTATGGATCGTCAGACTTCTGAGCCTTCATTGACAAGCCAAAGCATTACCCCAGTTTCCCAGTATCCTGCAGAACCTCTAACTCAATCCACTGGTCAGCCACGAAGTATCTTTAGCACTACAAAAGTTATTTTATCTTCTGAAAAAGATATGTATTTAACTGATTCAGTCACACAGCTATATGTTTTGCAGTCTATAGTCCCAACTAGAACAACAGCTGACATGACTTTTGGTACCAGAATTCCCCCTTCCTCACCAGAAGTCCTTGCAGCTTCCTCTTTAGCAACGCTTAAGAAAGAACCATTTCCTTTATTTTCCACACAAAAGGCAGGTACGGATCTAAAATTCACACAGCAGGCCTTGTTAACTGAACCACTTGATTCAAGACAAACACTTGAAACAACCTCGCCTTCATCAGGTTCTAAGACAACCTCTTCAATGGTTTTGTTACCAGAAACAACAGAACTTCCCATCAGGATGGGGAGTGGGCCATCCACATCAACAAGCAAAAGTGAGACAGAGAAAACTGTGGTCTTGCCTAAACAGGTCACACCTTCAGGCACCACCTACAGTTCCACATTTCTAGCAGGTGCAGTGTCGTCGGCTATGGCCCACTCAGCTGCAACTTCAGCTTTTTCAATGCTAAGCAGTGCTGGGAAAAACCTTACTATTGTACCAGGAACTTCAGAGAAAGCAGAAGCAGTCACAGAACCCATGACAAGCTCTGTGAAGCCCACCTATTTTTCTGTTATTTCAGAAGCAAAAGGAGTCATGCCCCTCGATACAGCGAAATCTGAAAAGCCACAAATCACAACAGAAGTCCAGACTGTCCTCACTCAAGGTGTTACTGTTAGCCCAGAAACACCCAAGACATTTTACTCTCCATATTTCACAAACACAACTTCAGTTCTGTCCACTATACATTCCTCTTCTGAACCAAAACCTTTTTCTTCTATAGCTGCATCATCAGTCAGCACTACTCAAACTTCAACATTTGAAATACCATCTGAGGTGCGAACTACTTCCCTAAGTTCACTGCTAATGGTATCGGATCATCCAAATGACACAACAGCTCCATCAGTTTCCCCATTTCCCTATTTATCTACCAAACCACTTTATGGCTTTACTGCAACATTTTCAGATGGATCGGCAACAGCCGAAGCCATGTCAGGAGTCACAGCATCACCTTTTATGCTGCCTCGAGAAACATCAGGTCTTCAAACTTGTACAGTGAGTTACTATAAATATTTATCTGTCTGGTTTTGAACATGTCTTGCTTACTTTTCTGCACTGATTTTGTAAAAAAAAAATTATGACCCATACATTGACCTTTAGGATTTAAAGTATCTGTATCAAACAGGGAGCCTGATTATGTTCTCAGTTATATCTGAAACTTTGGATGATTTCATTGCACATGATGTTGGTTTAAATGCTGTAATATACTGAGTTTTAGGCCTCAGTTTTCTGAGTATGACTGTTACAAGAATGTTGGTTCTTTTGGCAAAATACTGTCCTTCATATTGTTCTGTGGCAGAATTTTTCGTGTTACCCTCCTTAAAATACAGCTTTTGGCAAAATACCGTCCTTCATATTGTTCCGTGGCAGATTTTTTCGTGTTACCCTCCTTAAAATACAGCTCTCCAGAGATGCCTGTTATTGTTACTGCTTGTGCCCTTAAGTACTTTTCTTTTTCAACCTATTTTAATGTAAAGTTAAAATTCAATGATGCTGTTCGGAGCTTTACAACAGGACAGAGGTGTAAATCTGTCCTCAGAATGTTTGGATTTTCAAAGGTGTTCTTCACCTGTAGCTTCCACCAGTGTCACATGGATAAATAAGTATTCTGTACATGAAGATGTGAGGCCTGTTTTAAGTAAAAATTCTGCAGTATTGTGATACTAACTTGGTAAGAATGGTAACCTATGTCTTTTATTAAATATGCCTTAGCCAATCACAGAGAATGAGTGCATAAAACACATTTGCTTGGATGGACAACTGATCCAAGTTAATAAGTCGCAGAACTGCCCATACAATGCAACTCAACCCAGCTGTGGAGTGTTAGGATTTGCTACTCAAATAAATGGTGACAAATGCTGCCCAAAGTGGGAATGTGCATGTAAGTTTTAATTATGCAGTACTTTTCAAGTGAACTTAGTTAACAATTTAATGCATATGTAAGAAAACTGAGAACTGACATTTCTACACCATAGCATAGAAATAGAAGATGCTCACTGCATGGGTTGCTCATTGTCTGATTCAAAATATAGTCAATAGAAGATGCTCAGTGCATGGATTGCTCATTGTCTGATTCAAAATATAGTTCTAGTTCTATACCCAGGGAAATGAAATCAAAATGCTCCTTTAACATAGGATACTCTGCTTACCCAGCTATAGGTACCTGCAGTGGATAAATCCAGGTCTGAGTTAACCCCATCTTGTAATCTGTCTAATCAGGGGACACTTAACCAATATAGTCATGGATCCTTTGGTTCATTTTATATCTTCTTCAGGATGAGAAGATTCCCTAGACTCTGTTAAATAGCTGTGTTAAAAGTTTTGGAATTCTGTACTGTAGTCATTCCCATCAATTACGTAGAATTTGGCAGAAAGAATCCAAACCTTAAAAGAAATGCAATTTAATCCATAATAGCAAAGCTAGCATCTGGCAGAGAGAATCCAAACCTTAAAAAAAATGCAATTTAATCCATAATAGCAAAGACAATACAGAGATAAACAACTGGAATTGCTGCTTACACTCTAGAGTCTGAAATAACTCAGAGTAGAACTTGAAGCCCTTTGAAACACAAAAGCCTCAGCCAATAAGACTGGGGTAAAAAGAAACCTTTGACCTTAGGAACAAGACTAGAAGGGAACTAAGGATTTGGCATGACCTACTGTCATTCATGATTTTTCCTAGCTTGGGGTCTGTAGAAATCACAAACCTTTGCTGGCAAGACCTGTAAAGAAATAGCAGATTGCAGAGGTCTGCCTGTGACCCCTGAAATGTGTAGGATTTCATTCTGCTGTCCATTTACAGAGATGCAACAGTACCAAATATAGCTGAAAATACATGCCGCATATATGAAACTCTAGTAAGCTAGTTAATCTTAAAGAATTTGTTGTTTTATCTTCATATTTTGTAACATTTACTGAAATCCAAAATTAATTCTAAAAAAAAATTTTAAAATTCGCTTATTTCATTCTCCCTTAGGTCGTTGCACCATTTTCTCTGATCTGAGCATCGTAACCTATGATGGAAATCATTTGGCTTTATTCAAAGAAGCATCCTACATTGTTAGTCAAACTCAAGATGAAACTATAACCATCCATGTCCTTGACTGTAGAATGGTAACTAACATTTATCAGCTAACAAAAGGTGTTTGGTACAGATAGTAAGATGTATCTTGAAAGGAAGAGCATAGTAATATTATATAGTTCTGGTTAATTATTCACTTCTGTGTAATATCTATGAATTGTACTTGCATTTTAAAACACTCATTAATTGTATAGCACCTTTCCACCTGATTGTATGTGCAGAGTTCCTTCTGAAACAGTTGGAAGAATGGTATAGCACCTTTCCACCTGATTGTATATGCAGAGTTCCTTCTGAAACAGTTGGAAGATGAGAGGTAGGTCCATGTTCTCTTACATGTGTAAAACAGACAAGGTGGATTAAGTGGATATGCATCATTAGTCACTTCTGTGAATGCCATCATGTACTAAATACCACCATGGTTGTATCACCACCAGTGTATTTCAATGCATGACTTTTATCTATGTTCATATGGAGAAATATTCGTTGGAAACACCAACCTTCAGAGCCATAAAAGACTCTATAGGAATGCCAGACTAAACTGGACCAGCCTGTGCATTCCAAGTCTCTAACAGAGAAGGAAGAGGGAAACCCTGTCTAATCAGTAGTGTGGACTGGCTTTTGTCAGGAAAAGTTCATTTCTTATGAGGCTTGACAAAACTCTTCAAACTCCAGTCTCTTGAAAGCTAGGAAATTCTGATGTGCATATAAATGTCCATTACAATGTATTGTCCCAAGTAGTACCTTATGGAAGTTAATTTCAGAAGCTCAATAAGATTGATATGAGAAATGAGATATGTTTGACTTTCAGATTTGTTTTCCTGTTGTACTCGGTATTTTCTGTTTTGTTCACCCCCATGTAGCTCAGCAAGTATGCGTGTATTTCTGGGCCACTACTTTTGTACTGCATGTGTCATGTAGATCCATCATTCCCAGTCTTGTTCTTGCTCACCTTCAGATATGTAACTCATATTTTAAGTGTCCAAACACTTAGTCTACCAAATTTTTCTTTCCCTTGAAAACCTGTATTTCTGTTCTAATTCCAAGATCTCATGATACAACCCACTTGCTGAAAACAACGAGATCATAACACTTTGTTCATTTTGCAAGAGAGGTATCCAGATGAACTTTGTAGTCTTGATGCAAAACTGCAGTCAGCAGTGGCTTTTCTCTCTTAATAATACACCCCCACAAAATCCTAAATGTCCCAGTACCTAAAACCATTAAGCAGCCAATGTATACAGATTTTGCACATCATGACTATGGTTGATGTATTTTTGCTTTCTCCACAGAGTAATCCAAGTTCAACTTCTTTGTGCCTGGCAATGTTGAATCTAACCTATGTATCAAACCAAATTATTATCAATCGGTTAAGTAGAAAGGTAAGTATTACGAAAGCTCTTCTTTTCCTTTTAGGTAGCATCTTACTTCTGTAATCAACTGCCTCCTCATGTGGATACTGAAGACTAGAGTAGAACACAATAGGTCATACAGTTAATTGTTCGTTTTTGTAATTTAGTAAACTTGGTGAATTCAAAGAGCCAAACTGTGATACATTTTTGTAATTTAGTAAACTCGGTGAATTCAAAGAGCCAAACTGTGATACAAGGACAGTTGTAACTCACAGAGCAAGGCACATAAACTGTTTGTCGTTTTAGTACCTCTATTATCTTTCTGAAGGAGAGCTTGACTTCTTTTGAAATTAGATATGAATCAGGCCTTAGTTCTTCTACCTGATAATTAACCTCTATTCTGGTTGTCTTTTAGATAACAGTAAATTCAAGATCTGCTTGGCCTACTGTTAGAAAATATGGATACAAAGTTGAAGATTCAGGCTTCAAGTATGCAGTTGAGACTCCAACCAAAATCAGAATTCAGTGGTTTCACAACACAGGGGTGATGATTATTGAGTTTAACAGTACCAGAGAACAGAATGCTTTGGGACTATGTGGTAAGTGTAGAGTAGTGCAAGAAATAAAGGCATTCAGATACTTTGCTAGGGATACCCATTTTAGCAATTGTATAAACTATTTATTGCAGGATCTGTCCCAAAACAGCTATTGCAGATCACTGCAAAGTTTAAGAAACTATTAAAATGAGTCTATTATGAATTTTGTTAATTGTAGAGATTATGTTTGATGTCTACCTCTGTAATCACTTTTTGGCCATAGCATGGCTTCTGTCTGTGGCCTGTCTGAATCACAGCCATGATAGCTGTAACCAAACTCAAGTAAGACAGGTATAAGTCCATAATGTCAAATAAGGTCATTCACAGATTTAGTGTTTGATATCCATCTGATAGGAAGCATTATGTTCTATTTTCAGTTTCTAAAGGTCAGAATTCTCAGAAAATGTTAACTTGAGAGAACTAAGTTAAGTTGTTGAAGGAAACAGTTCAGAGGGAATTTCTTAATAGTAATGGGTTAAATAAACATCATGGTGTACTCTTTTAGGGCTGTTCAATAATTACACCTACTTTCTTTCTTTTTAAAAAGCATAGCCTTGAAGAAGTGGTGGGTGTTACAGCTTTTGCAAGTGTGTATTTGTTGATGTAAATCCCTACTGTGATAGCTGAATCTGTAAATTTATCTGCTGTAAATTGGAGCTGGAAACTAGGATTAAAGAGATCATATAATTACAGTGGATGTCTTTCCAGTTTCAGAAAGGGCAAATGCCTTTAGCTCAGTATCAAATACCAGTGATAGCTCAGTCCAGTTTCAAACCCTGCAAACAGTAATGTGCTTCTCACAAAGGAAGAGAGTTTGAATTTACTGTCATTTTGAAATTGGATTATTATCTGTAATTTACCCCAACATCATTCTTGCTCTGTTTTGCTTGTTGTTATGGTAATTAGATCAAACAGAAACAAGAAAGTAAAGACTGAATTTTTTTCAGTAAGCATGATTCAAGTTATCTTCAAGTCTCTTTTGCCCTTACCTGTTGGATTACTGTGATAGGGAGCATTGGGAACATTATATACCTGGTTTGCAAGTTATTTTGACTGTATTTTGACAACACATTTCTGTAGATGGTATTGCAAGTAAAACTTCAGAGAATGTGCTGTATGTGTCTGGTATTCCAAGTTAGCCTGCACAGTGCTGTCTGGTGCAACTTACAGAGCCTGTTTTAAATGAGCTTGTTACGCTGCATCTTTTCAGGGTAAATTAGTCTAGCCTTATCTCCTGTGCTTTACGTGTTAGTCTGCTGCTCATATCTGAGCTTTCTCAGGTGACTTTTAGCTGAACTGCAGTATTAGTAGATTCTGATTTCTCAGCCTCATGAGAATGCTAAAACTGAAGACACCATTGCAGTTTTGTAGCACAAGCATCCCTTGGAAGGGTTCGTGTCAGAGACAACAGTGTCTTTTACAGTGCAAGGATTGGGCAAATGTGGCAGCTGGTGAAGAGCTAGTGTGGGAGATGAGGGATGTGGAAAAGGAACATGGACACCTCTACAGCAAGACTGGTAAAACAGAGTGCAAGCATGTCAGGTTTAGCTGCAACCGGATCCTGCCAAGACAAATGTGAAGCCTTAGTTTTGCTGTGTTGAATCTCCTTGTCATGTGTAAGAGAAGAAGTGAAAAAAGATATCCCTGACATGACAGCAATCCTTTGAAGTGTTTCAAGTACTTCCTATCTGTGTTGCATATACTCATGACCTCAAAAGGTTCAACCAGAAATATAGAATAATGGTCACAGTTCCAAAAGCTGTTTTATTCTCTGAATGCCTGTTGCTGTATTGCTGGTTGTCAATGGCTTGCTCTTGTCATCATGAACTGTGAAAAATGGTAAACCAGACCAGAGTTTTATAAAAAGAGTGAAATCCACAAATAGTTTTCAAACAGATAAAGATTTAGGTTTGTGTTCATGAAGATGCCAGAAGAAAACATTCTAGAAGTCTGACACAAAAGTCTCAGAAACTGATTAGAATGAAGGAACAGTAAAGTAGTCTATCATTCTGCTTTTTTCTACCTGCTGGCTTTTGAAGAACCTTCCAAGCAGACTACTGTAATACTTGATGTTCTGTGTTAACCAAAGGCACTCTCCATGTTACGTTGCTGCTTTTGTTCCAAAGGATTTCAAAATGGCCAACTCTTCTAGTTAAAACAGAAAAACAACACCAAAGTGATGCTGCCTTCTGAGAATGGATACAAAAAAGTTTGATTTATTTCTTCTCTTTGCCTTTTGAGTAGTAATATAAGTATGCCTGGAAGTGCCAGAAGCTGCACTTTTATACTTGCTGTTCAGCCAATAGATGCTTAAGACTGCTCAGAAGTGGAATAATACAGTATTTCTGAAGTACAGTATCAGATAAGCATCTTGGCATTTTATGGGAGTTCCCTTTTCCGATTATATTTACAATTTTAATTTGTTGCTACACATTGAGGTGCTTTGTAACCTTTTCTAAACATACAATTTCGTTTAGTGCCTGTGCAACTGAGAGGTGAAGTTTGTGTGCTCTAGCTGAGCACTCTGAACAGCTCTTTGATATGCAATACATTTCCATTCACAGTTGCATCTTTACTTTTGCTTTCCTTAATTTTGACTTTTGTGTATTTTGATCCTACCAAAGATTTTATATCTGTTGCAGGTTGTGATACTGTCATGCTGAATAAGATTTTTTAAAAGATGTTTACTTGTTTGAATATGCCACTTCAAACATACTTCAGAATCAACCACATTGTGTTAAACCTGTTTTTCTTTTTCTTCTGGTAATTCACAGGGGTTTGTGACAGAAGCTTGGAAAATGACTTGATGCTACCAAACAGGACAGTTTTAAGCAAAAGCCATTCCCCATCAGCTTTTATAGACAGCTGGCAAGTGCCAGACACATTAAAGTATGTCGGAGAAGACAGGCATCAGGAAACTAATTGCTCGGTCATGGACTGCTCAGAGTGCTTAAGAATGGTGTTGAACCAGACCTTCAGCAGCTGTCATCCTTATGTATGTTAACTATTTTGAAGCTTACATTTTGAGAGAGCTGCGGTTCTGATATAATTTTGTATACTCAATAATTTCAATAATGTGAGACTACATGTAACATCTGTTGAATGAGATACATCTTTGTATCTACAGTTGCAAGGTAAAAGTAATTGAAGAATATAGCAGCTTGATAGAAGAGTAGCAATAACCAACTAAAATCTCCAGAATATTTCATCTGTTAGTTTTGAAAATACCATCTAATTTATAAACCAGTCCCAGCTAATTCAACTGTATAATTCAGATGTAGAGCGAAGTAAAATAAAATAGTTTTAGGATTTAATTAATCCTTAAACCTTCAGTAGTTTGACAAGTTCCAAATTGCAATAGGTAATCTGAGAATCTGCATTCTCAAAGGCTCTGGAGACAGAGTTTCAGCTTAGAGAGATGGCAGGGGGTAGAACAGACCATTTAAAGCTAACCTAAAGCAAATAAACTCACAGCATGCAAATTAATTATTTGTGGTCATATTGAGTATATTTACCATTTCACCTGTTGTATATTGTTGAGTTTGATAAAGAGAAGGCCAAAAGCAAACAAAAATATAGATGTAATTATTGCAAAAACTCCATTATCTCTTACCTTGGCACTTCTAAGAGATGAAACTGAGGAATATAAGGACATCAACATTCAGGAAGCCTTACTTTTAAATAGTGGTAGATTATCTTTGTACACCAATGATGACTTACTGTGAACCAAGAACTTTTGGCTGCATTGTTTCTAGCTGGTATTTTAAAAGGACAGTTTTTCCTACCCAGCATAGTCTCTATGAAGGTACCATATCTTTTATTTTTCCTTTGTTAGGTTCCACCTGAGCTATTCTGTGATATATGGGTTCAGGACACTGAGTACATTCAAAATCCCTGCATTTCACTAGCTGCCTATGTGGCAATGTGCAACAAATTTAACATTTGCATAGAGTGGAGGAGCTCTGATTACTGCCGTAAGTATTCTGCATGTATGTGTACCTCCAGTGTTCAGAGACAAAATTAGCCTAACATAAGAGATACTGTAAAATACCAATGCTTCTTGACTCTTCATGTACTTTAGGAGTTGTTGTTGAGCTAGTAAATTCAAAGCAGTGTTCAAAAAGAATCAGGATCATTATAGCCACTTCACAGATCGAAAAAGTAAGCTGTGAAGAACCTTGCTCAGAAGCCTACCTATGGTTTATGAGGTATTTAAATGTAGAAGTCAAACCTTCTTGCTTGCAATGTAGCATAGTGTTCATTTCTTAGCCACTTCCCAGTGAAAAATGAAGCACATAAAACTGAAACACAACAGAACTGGCTGTGGAAAGGAGGAAGACAGAGCAAATTCTGTGGTACTTTGAACTGGTGATATCTGCTTGATGCTGCTGCAGGAAGCTGAGTCTTTGGAGGAAGGATTAGAGTAATGAAACACCTCTGAGATTAGATGGAGAGTAAGGAATAAAACCTGAGAGCTAGAGTATCCTGGCAGAAGACTTCTTCCATAGCAACTTACTAAAATGTAAGGCCAAATGGGATCTTTAGTTCGATTACAGCACCTCCTTATGCTGTCCATGATCACCTAGGAAAAGCCCCATACAGTGAGGTTGTGTGGTTTTGGTGCTGGTAGGGTTGGACTCGATGATCTTTGAGGTCTTTTCCAACCTGGTTGATTCTGTGATTCTATGACACATGATCGCCTCAAATTAAGAGAACTCACTGTACATAGAAATCATAAGTGATTTTTTTGTAAACTGATTTAAGGTGGGTACATGTGTACAAGGTTCATGCAGGCATGTCATAATGCCTTGCAAATAACAGTCATGGTGTCCTAATGCTTAAAAATAGTCCATTTTTAAAAAAATTCTACAGTTTGTGTGGATTTTACTAGCAAGTTACTGCTTAAAAGGAGATCTTAGAAAATATATCTGTAAATATATGTATTCCATCCATTGTGAAGGGCCACATCATGCATATTTTGATACTACAGTGAGCTCTGATGGTGCATGTCTAGCAAGGAAGAGCCATGAGGTCGCAGCTAGATTTTGTGGTCACCAAGTGTTGTTATGCCATAACATAAACTTTTTAAGAGCCTGAGTTGCTGTTTACAGGACTCTAACAGATATTTCCTGTGGGGCATTACGGCCCTTTTAAGTAGTGAGAACCTAAATAAAGTCAACTGCTTCTGCAAATCTTTAGTCTAAACTGAGACCTTCTTTACTTTAGAGCAGACAGTCCTTTGTAAATCTTTAAAGTCTAAACTGAAACCTCCTTTACTTTAGAGCAGACAGTCCTTTGTGACCTGGACTTTACCTCATTACTATGATTCCAAATGGTGCTGCTGTATGACTTAGGTATTGTTACACGATGAGGATTGTATATTTTTTAGTTCACATAACCATACTGTTGACATGTGTAGTTATTCTCCATTTGCTGTATTTATGCAGCTTTAAAGTCTAAACTGAAACCTCCTTTACTTTAGAGCAGACAGTCCTTTGTGACCTGGACTTTACCTCATTACTATGATTCCAAATGGTGCTGCTGTATGACTTAGGTATTGTTACACGATGAGGATTGTATATTTTTTAGTTCACATAACCATACTGTTGACATGTGTAGTTATTCTCCATTTGCTGTATTTATGCAGCTTTAATCACTGTTTTGAACCAATGAAAGATCATGTTTATTTTACAACAGCAAAAGTTAAATCCAAAAGAGAAACTGTTTTGGTCTATTCCTGCATGCTCCAATAACATGCCAATGAATTGACATTGGGATTATAATGAATGTTAAATTCAACTGTGCCCTTTGACTTAAAAATAATACAGGTGCACATGCACACACAAATAATTAATGTGGCTATCGAATAGGTAATGAACTAATCCCATTATTATTCCACATAAAACATTGTTGAATTTGCCTTTACGCATATTTTCTTTTAATTGACAAAGCTTTGCCCTTTAGTAATCATTGCAATTTTTTTAGCCACTGCAAAGTATTCAGAATGGTTCAGAACACTCTATTACTGATCTGTGTAGGATTTGCAAATGGTTTTGAAGTTTGAATTATTTTCTGTCAACACTGTTGCATGGTTTGATAAATCTATTGCCAAAATGCAAATTGAAGCCTGGTGAAAACATTACTACAAGAAGAAGGGAAATAAAAGTGCTTGCAAATTCCTTTAGTTTGAATTTGCCATGTTGAAGGTAACTGGTCTGTATTGGTGTTTCAGGTTCGTAGACATGACTCAATTAGCAAGCGCAGGAAGTTGACAAGAAGGCAATAATGTCTTCTCTTGGGTATTACCTGATGTGATTGCAACTTCAGAATGTGTGATTTGTTCATTTCCTTCTCAGCCTTCTCCTGCTCTGAAAACTTCTCCTATCAGCCTTGTATAGCTGCCTGTGAGGTTCCAGATAGCTGTCAGAACAAGGAGGTTGCTTCTCTGGACTCAGACTCCTGCTCAGTGCTGACAGAAGGCTGTGTCTGTGCTGGAGGGACCATCCTTCACCGAACTCATACTGCAGTCTGTATCCCTGAAGAAAAATGTGGTATATTTGGATGTGATTTTCTTCTTTATTATCTGCAAGTTGGTGGTCATTATTAATAAATTGAGTTCTGACTCAGTGTTTTGTGGGTTCTGCATATGCCATTCAGTTGAGGATTCAAAATATTCAGAAAACATTAACTGTACAGGTGAGAAAGCAGAGAATGTCCTTGTGACATACAGGTTTGCTGACCTTCTCAGCTGGAGGGTGCTCTTCAAACTGGAAGTCTATGCTTATGTTTCTGCATTCTAGTATTCCAAGTATGTTAGTCTTGGCCTCCTTTTCACCTAAGCCCTTTACCAAAGGTCCAGCCTTTCAATACAAAAAATGGCATTCAAAATTTGGAGCAGCAGTTAATTACACATTTTGAATAATACATGTGTATGCCTTATGTTCTTGCTGATAGCATTCATGTTTGTTTCATTACAATTCTGTCTCAGCACACCAAATAGTGGACTAATTCTTATCCATGAAAACACAAACATTAAAGATGCAGTTTATGATGAATCAGACCACATAAAACACTAAATTAATAACAGTTCTCCCATGTGTGAAATAGAAAAGTAACTTCAGATCATTGCTTTAAAAACAAAGGATTGGATTGGGATTTTAAGTGACTGGCCTTGCAGTAGAGGCACAAAACAGAGTGGAGACTTGGATATTCTGGAGGGTCTTGAAGTTCTTGCTTTCCTGTACAAACTCCATCTCAGACTGTGTCCTCTTTCACTTCTTTTGTGGGGTGATAGAGATAGATGAAGACTCCAAAATTCTGAGATGTTTGTGCTTCACAGACCCACACCTGGCATGGAAGAAAATGGTGGTCAAATTAGAAGTAAAAAAAGGAATTATTTTTTTTTCTGTTGTCCTGATCTAGCTTGTACAGACAGCTCAGGAACACCTCATGCAGTGGGTGAGATCTGGAAAACGTCTTTGAGTGGATGCTGTATGCAAAAATGTGTTGACAGTGAGACCATTATTCCAGTGGAGTACAACTGCTCAGATAGCCACGATTTAGACTGCCAGAGATTTGCAGAAGTGCCATTGCTTGTTCCTGGTGATCAGACCTGTTGTCCTCAGAAGATCTGTAGTAAGTATTCCTTAATGATTATGAATACTGCCTGCTGAAATATGCAGATATCCTTTCTCTGTGGTTTGTTTTCCTGTTACATGAGCCTCTTTTGAAATGAATGGATATTACTTGGGTTTGAATTTACTGATTATGTAGAAGACTGTAGGAACTTTTTACTATTTGGCTCAATATCCAGTAGGTTTGGAGGGAGAGGGAGAGGGATGGGATGAAGGTTACAGGGACTGAAATAGCACAGCATTTATTTGGATATGAATTGTATTTCTGTCAGGTGTTTTGTTTTTAATGTCCAAATGCAAATACATTGTATAAATAATTCTGGCAAGAAAAGGATCCAATGTTTGTTTATCTAATTTACAAAATGAGCAGTAGAAAAATTATAGAAAAGCTTTTTTCTTTTAATCCTTTCTTAGCTTAGAAAGTCCATCTTCAAAAAGAAATTGCAAGCAATTTGCATGTGTTGACCACCTGGTATGATATTGCAATGAGTTTTCCACAGGAGTATCTTTTAACTTCACACAAGGACTTAGCTCTAATTTAACTTTGCCTCCTTAGACAGTGTTGCAAATGACAGACACTTCTGCAGGTTGCCATGGCATTTTTTGCTTGTTTATTGTGGATTTTGTATGTATGTTGTTATTTGGAGACTTGGGGTATGGAGCTGCAAGTACTGCTTGCCACTGCTCTATTTGACTTACAAATGCATAGTATAGAAGGTGGTTGGTTATTTTGTTTCCTTTTTATGTAACAGGTTGTAATCAGAGTCTCTGTGAAACCCTAATCCCTGAGTGTAATGCCTTGGAAAAGTTGGTCACTTACTACAGTGAAGAATCCTGTTGTCCCAGCTATGTTTGTGGTAGGTTTCTTCTGAAAAGGTAAAAAAAAAGTCACTGTAAAAGACATTCAGTAAACCAAACAGACCAACTTAGGTGCCAAAAGGTAGTTAATGTAGATACCATTATTAGTATGGCCATTTACAAAACTCACTTCCATCTGAAAGCTCAGGATTGGTCTGTGCCTCAGTTTGAGCAGATATGTTTAATGATCAAGCAAAAATGTGTCTTTGCTCCTATGTGATACAAGGTAAAAGTTTTTCTAAAGCAACCTGTAGTATTCCTCTGTTCTGCACTGCCTTTCTTAGGCCTATAGCATAACAAAGGAGGAATGTTAAGCTTTGTATATATACATCTGCTGTACTTTTTTCAGAATGTGATCCAGAAAAGTGTGAGCCAATGGAGCAGATGCCAACCTGTCAAGATGATCAGACTCTAATTGCTGCTCGGGTGGAGAGTACCTGCTGCATTTCCTATATATGTGGTACAGTAGCCTGACTGGTTGAGACTATAAGTGTGGTTTTTGCATATGCAATGATGTCTATTATTACACTGCCAATTAAAGCTCCTTGTACTTCCTCTAGCTCTCCCAACATAGTAAGCCTTGAAAGTGGTTAATACAATTGGGCATTCATTTTACAAACATGAGGAGTGGCAACAACCATCAGGAGTCACAGGACACCTTTGTGTAACTAAGTAGTATTCCTGGGTTGTGTAGAGGAGTGGTGGTGGTGTCCATGAGTGAGGGAATTCAGAGCCTTTGAGAGACTGTTCACTTACAGCGTATGAATCAGCTGCATGAACATTTTAGCCGAAAGAAGACTAAAGTTATATATGCATTTCCTTGCTGTTTCCTGCTGTATCAGCTATGACCCATCTTAATTGATGACAAATATCCCATATAGGAGTATTATGCAAATTTGTTCATTTATTTTGGAGTTAGGCTTTTAGTGACTGAATTCCATAATAAAATTGCACCTTTGACATTAGTATAGGAGGTTCAGTCATACCATACAGTTGTTTTCTGTATGATAATAATGAGGTCCTATTGAGTTTACTTTATTTCTTAACAGATATCTGTGAATCAAAGGCCCAGTCATCTTGATTAGCACTTCCATGTGCAAAAATGTGACCATTAATGGAGCAATAAACTACACTTCTGTTATTTACAGTAATCAGGGGATTACTTTGATCATAGGATAGCAATGTGCTGTTTGGCTCTTCTCACTGTCTGCAGAGCACCCTTCTGATTCTTTGTTGATATAATGAGTCTTTTGCACTGTACATATCAAAAAGTACTGTTGTGGTTTTCTTGCGTGTTCAAGTGGGAGGATGACGCTGGGACCACAGGAGATACACTTTATTGGGGATCAAAGACTCCTGAAAACAATTGTGTGACTTGGTAGGAAGGAAAACTTAGCAAAAAAATTTTTTTAGAGAAATGCAAAGAACATTGTTTGCTCACAAATAATATATTCATTCTTAATAGCAAGAGACAAAGAGAAGACAAGCTGCACTGAAAATTAGCCTCTTGTATAGGGACTATAAGTAATGAATGCAGAGTACCTCTATTCTCTTTCATATGCATCTGTGGCAAGCTTATGGGCATGTTTTCTAGGCAGTAGTAAAATTTCTTCCTATGTTTTAGATGTAAATAATTGTTTTCTCCAGCTTGTGGGGCTTGCTCGGATCAAATACCCAAATGTCAAGAAGGAGAAGTTCTTATTGTGGATGGCAACACTACAGAGAGGTGTTGTCCTACGTACCAGTGTAGTAAGTTTGACCTAATATTTTTGTTCAGTGCCCAATATGGTGGATTGGAGACATAGCTCCACCTGTGTATACAAGCAAGTTATCATGTGTTTTGCTTTCAAAACTTTGTGTGCATAAAGCATTATCTGAACATCTGTATCATGGAGACATGAATAATTTCAGACCCCAAATTCTGGATATTTAAGAATTATATCAGTATTTTTATTGGACTCCATGCTACCATCGCCTGATAACTAGTAATTAAATTTCTATTACTAGTCTTTTCAAGTAAAATGTTTTCTAAAGGTATTTATTGTAAGCAATTTGCTGTATCTTGATTCATATTTTCATTCATCAAAACATGACAACCTTGTCCTTATTGGATTTCTTTTTCTTTGATTTTAGTTTGTGAAATACATCGTTGTCCTGAATTCAAATGTATGCTAGGCATGTCTTTGGTGGAGGTGTGGAGCCCAGAGAAGTGCTGCCCCTTTCGGACATGTGGTAAAATCACTGATTTTCATTATAGTTGCCTTAGATAATAAGATACTGACAAGAACTTTGGCCTGTTGGATTCGAGTCTGGTTTGAGACAGCTACACCATCGTGATCTGCTCAAGAACAAATATAGAAAAGTCATTTCATGGCAGAGAACTTCCTAATCTCTCCCTTCTGCTTTTTCTTTCTTCACAAGGGTAGATAGCATGCTGTAGAATTTGCCTGTCCAAACAGGGTGATTTATAATCTTAAAAATTTTTAAGAGTTAGTGTGTTGTGTTTGCATGGCAACATTTTGGTGGGAGTGGGGGCTACATGAGTGGCTTCTGTAAGAAGCTGCTAGAAGTTTTCCCCATGTTCAATAGAGGCAATAACAGCTCGTTCCAAGAAGGACCTGCTGCTGGCCAAGGCTGAGCCCATCAGCAGTGGTGGTAGCACCTCTGGGATAATGCACTTAAGGAGGGGGAAAAGTTGCTGCAATGGCAGTAATTGCAGACTAAGAGAAGGGTGTGAAAATGTGAGAGAAACAGCCCTGCAGACACCAAGGTCAGCTCAAAAAGATGGGGAGGAGGTGCTGGTGCTGGAGGTGCAGGTGCTGGAGCAGAGATTCCCCTGGAGCCCATGGGGAAGCACACTGTGTCCCTGCAGCCCATCGAGGTCTGGGGGGAGCACCCTGTGGAGGACCCCACACCAGGGCAGATGGATGCCCAAAGGAGTTTGTAACCCTGTGGGAAGTCCACACTGCAGCAGGGTCCTGGCAGGACCTGTGGCCCCATGGAAAGAGGAGCCCATGTTGGAGCAGGTTTGCTGGAAGGACTTGTGGACCCCATGAGGGATTCATGCTGGAGTAATCTGTTGCTGAAGGACTGTACCCCATGGAAGGGATCCATGCTGGAGCAGTTTGTGAAGAACCATAGCCCATCAGAAGGACTCATGTTAGAGAGGTTCATAGAGAAATCTCTCTCATGGGAGGGACCCCATGGTGAAGTAGGGGAAGAGAGTAATGAGTCTTCCCCCTAAGGAGGAAGTAACAGGAGTTAACATGTGATAAACTGACCACAACCTCCATTCCCCATCTCTCTGTGCTGCTGGCTGGGAGGAGGTAGAGGAAATGAAGAATAAAGTTAAGCACAGGAAGTAGGAAGGATGGTTGGAAAGTGTTTTTAAAAATCGGGTTTGTTTCTCATTGTCCTATTCTGATTATTTAGTTGGTAATAAATTCAGTTCATTTCCCCAAGCTGAGTCAGTTTTGCCTGTGATGTAATCAGTGAGTGCTCTCTCCCTGCCCTTATCTTGACCCATGAGCTCTCCGATATATTTTTTCTCCCCTGTCCATTTGAGGAGAGGAGTCATAGAACAGCTTTGGTGGGCACCTGGCATCTGGCCAGGGTCAACCCAACACAGTTAGTAAATTATTATTGTCTATTAAAAAAAGAGAAATTAGCTTCACAGGTCAGGAATTTGCCAGATTACAAAGACTGTAGTATATATGTCATACATCTCTTTGCGATATCTTAAACACAATTCTCCATTGCTTAATATAGATTGGAATGGTTGTCACCACTGCAAGGGGACCAGTGGCAAGAATGACCATCATTTTTTTTACTGCGTTCAGGTGAACTGCTGTTGGTACCCTGCTGTCAATTGTTGTAATAAGTAAAGTTGGTCAGAAGAGTTGATACCAGTTTTCAGAATGGAATAGGAATCAAACATGAGTATGAGCTCCCCAGATGGGTATATTTTAAAAACCACAAGAACTTAATCTCTATTCTCTCTGATGCTCTAAGCAAAAGGCATATAACTTTCTAAACTACTGTTTCTGTTGTTGGTTTGTTTTTTTGTTTTTTTTTAGAATGTGCATGTGAAACAATACCCAAGCCTCAGTGCAAACTGGTATGAAATTTATCTTCTTTGTCAGTACTCTTTTATTAATTTTTGAATAAATCTCTTTATCAGCATCTTACTAATAATTTTCTCAGTGAAATATAAAAAGCCATATCATTGTTTGGTCTTTAAAATTGCTTTAGGAATTTTTAGGAAGCCACTTAAGTCCAAATACCTTGCAGAATAACATGGCTGTATTGCATGGATATTTCTGGAAGTTTTTTGCTACCATATCTTGCCCTAGAGTACAGGTAGAATGGAACTGCCTTCATACACACAAGGATAAAATTCTTGTTTTAAAGTGTTAGAATTAAATGCTTTAAAGCATCAGTGTTTTGTTAATATTATTTATTGTAGTGAATATGCTTATATAGCTCATGCACTTAGACTGCTGACTGAGAAGAACCTTTAAATTGTATTTTATTGTGACTTGTTCTGCATTGCAGAAGTGTTCATTAGCATTCCTGGGTTAGGTTCTCAATCAGGACTGAGTATGCTTTGATTTTGCTTGTCACTATTTTATCCAGACATTAATATTGCAATGGGAATAATTTATAAAAACTATAATTTGTAGTCCTAGGAAAGAATTGTAAAGAGTCCTCATTTTTTATAAGGAAAGATTCAAAATGTTTTGTAAAGTGAGATGGTTGTTAGTACTTTCATTTAGTATATGAAGAAAATTGGACAAAAGAAACCAGGACCTGCAGAAAACTTGTAGACTATGCCTATGTAGAAACAATAAAAGGCAAAATTAAAAAGTTTATCTGTGCTATTGTGATAATTTTTACATCCATTAACTTATTGTATGAAAGAGTACTCTCCACATTGTGTGGAGATTTTTGTCCAAAGGCATTTCATTGTTGGCCTGCCTAAGTCTTTTCTGTCCTAAATATCTGCTGTACTGAATGTAAAAATTTCCTGTTTGATTATGATTACTAAATTCAGTGTCCCTGTGGGTGCTGAAAGTGGATTTAGAATAGGTTTCTATGGGCAAGAGATACTGCTACACAAAATCTGAAGGAAAGTTGTTTAAAAGAAAAATATCATACAGATGAGAAAACAGACATTTCAATTTTTTTTCTGCTTTTATACTTTTAGGGGCAGAAACTTGAGATAGATGAACAGTTTCAGAACAGTACTGAAAATATCTGTAACTGTGTTAAGTACAAGTGTGGTAAGTCAGAAAATAATTTAATTCAAAGAAATACCCTTTCAAGTGCGAAGGTAAATTAAGAATGAAAGGTTGGATGTTCATGTTGAATATGGCACTGAGGAGGAAAGAATCAACTGACATAATTCACAAATAGTGTAAGAAAAGGGAAGAAACAGGATCCCCTCACTAAATATTTGGTTGATTATGACCTATCCTTGTATTCTTAGTTCCTGCAGCTAATGGAATATTATATACTTGTTTAGATTCGTGCACGATCATATATGTGTATATATATATAAATAATTTGGTAATTTTCATGAAACATTAGACTACTATTAACAGTTTGTATTTGAAAATGAGGCCTGTAGCTCTTAAAGAGGTAGAGTAGGTTTTCCATTCCCATTTTACTGGTTGAAATATTTTTAAGGGAGTTTTGATACCAAGCTGCTAGTCCTGACCATGCTGTTTGTTTTCTCTTGTAGTGAGGGACAAAGTTTGCCTGAGTAATGAGAGAGGTGTTCTGCTCCCTGGACAGAGAATCGTGGAACACAGCACAGATGGCATTTGCCATATTTCTTATTGTACAGATGTGATTGATCCCTCCACTAAATACTACCAAATAAACACATCTTCGATAGACTGTGCTGTCAAGTGCAAAGCTGTAAGATATCCAGAAATTCAAACAAGTGTACATGGTGGTCTTAATTACGTTTTGGTGGGGTTTGTTGAGTAGATTACAGTCATTGGAACAAGATGGAAAGAGTAACTATGAGGTCTCCCTCTGATGATGTGCTACCTTACTTCCCATAGAAGTTTATAACACTCTCACTCCCTTCACTATTTTCTCCCCCTTGTAAATCTTATACAAACTAATGTATATAGCAACTACCTCCTTGGGTTAATAGCAGACTGCCTCCTTGCATCCCTGTAGAATTTAGCTGCATTGTGCACAAACTGGTATAAATTCCTGGCAGACATTAGCTCAATAAGAATCAGGAAGACAATAATTATATGTGGAAGAAGAATTCTAAATGTGGTAAAAATAAGCAAATGTTACATTGTCTTTTTACAAAGTATGATGCATTGCCGCAGTAATATTATATAGATTAATTTTTTCTCATTACATACTTCAATGATGTCTAATGTGTTAAAAGTCAAAATTTCAGTGGTTCTTCAAGTAAGCTGTTACATTAGAAAGTTGTAAAAAGACCAGTTCATTTTTTTCAGAGTTGGAACTTCTCCCCATTTACTTCAATTAAGATCAAAGGTATTTTATGACTTCATGAATGTACAGTGTGCCAAGTGTAAGTTATGTGTTTTTGGAAGTTATTTTTAAAATGTCCCTAAAATCAGGTACCTGAAAAAAATCTGCCATTACAGTAGTAAAATTTCAAGCTGCAAGGTGGTCTAACACCAGGAATAATCTATTTGATTTTGGCAGAACCAAGTCTATCAGCCTCCAAAAGATTTAACAACTTGCTGTGGTAGCTGCAAGAACTTGTCTTGTCTCCACACTTTCAGCAATGGTACAGTTGGCAATTTTAAGGTAAGTTTATATATGTTTTAGCCTCTCAAAATATTTAGAAGTAAACAAAATAATTATTACTGTATACATATTGCCGTATAAAATATGCAAAAAAAGAGCTTTATTTGGCCCAATTTAGGAACAGTTTTGCATGATTTCTTTTTTGGAGACTCAACCATACAGCTGTTCACAAAAGTTATGCAATTTTGATATTTTTCAGAGAATTTATATATCAGAGAATTATTATGAACTCAACTATTTTAGAACCTGCTTAACATTACATAGAATCATAGAATCATCAATATTGGAGGAGACCTCTAATATTATCAAGTCCAACCACTAACCTGCCACTGCTGTAACCCCTAAACCCTGAACCATATCCTCCAGAGCCAGATCCAGACGCCTCTAAGAGGCACGTCCACAGATGGTAGTTGTAGAGAGCCATGAGGTCACCCCTGAGCCTCTTCTCAAAGCTAAACAAGCTCAACTCCCTCAGACCTTCCTCATACAGTATGTTTTCCAGACCTTTTCTGAGCCTTGTTGCCCTTGGCAGGACTCACTCCAGCACCTCAGTGTCCTCTTTAAAGTGAGTTGCCCAAAACTGAACACAGCACTCGAGGTGTGACTTCACCAGTGCCGAGCCCAGGGGGATGATCACTGCCCTAGTCCTGCTGCCACACTGTTCCTGATCCAGGCCAAGATGCCATTGGCCTTCTTGGCCACCTGTGCACTCTGTTGGCTCATATTGAGCTGCTGTCACCAGCACTGCAAAGTCCCTTTCTGATGAACAACACTCAAGCCACTCCTTCCCCAGCCTGTAGCTACATGGGGTTGTTGTGTCCCAAGTGCAGGACCAGCACTGAGCCTTATTGAACCTCATGCTGTTGTCCTCAGTCCACTGATCGAGTCCATTCAGATCTCTCTGTAGAGCTTTCCTACACTCCCACCCAACTTAGTGTCTTCTTTAAATTTACTGAGAGCACACATATATTTGATGGACTTTCAAATTCAGTACTTAAACAGAACTTTAACATGCATCTAAATTATATTTTGGTCTAAGTATTACTGTTCAGTATTCAAGCAAGATCAAATCCAATGGAATTATTTTATAGATACTTGGAATGCTTCACTGAGTTGCTAAGTTTCTGTTTTACAATTTTTGACAGCCTGGTGCTGTTTGGATTTCAAACTGCATCAGATATGAATGCACTAACACAGCAGTAGGACCAGTTCTGGTTTCCTCTTCAGTTGGCTGCCCACCCTTCAATGAAACCGAGTGCGTGAAGGTCAGTGTACATACTGTTTGCATTCCAGCTCTGATTGATGTTTGCGTGGAAAGACTAACACTGACAAAAGATGGCTTTATCTCAAGAAAGGATAAATTATAAATTCTTTCAGTGTCTGAATTTTGCAATGTGCCACCAGACTGCTAAGTTAAACAGCTGGAGACACCTCTTCTTATTATTAGATTTTTTTAAATAGAGGTTTGTAATATCAAACTAGTCTTCATACAGCAGTCTGAACTTGGGTGCTTTTCTGGGCTGGACTTCTTTCTAACAGATTTTACGGATGTGGCAATTTGATTCAGCACTATGGTCAAAAACACTGAAGAAAAGGAAAGGTGGTCTGAATATCAGTAACATCTTTTCTACAGTGACACATGAGGTTTCATGGACTAGTTTTGAAGCAAGAAGAAAAGTTCTATTTAAATTTGCAAAATGAGATTAAGACTAAGTGCCAGGAAATTTAGGCAAGGAGCAATCTCATATTACTCTCTGTAATTCTACATTTACATGTGGATAGAAAAATACTTTCCTTGACAAATGATGGTACACAAGCAGGGAACAGTCTGAGGGAACTGGGTGGCTATAGTTCTTCCTTGCAGATAACAATGGGTTGGTTCTTCAGGGAGAATCTCAGTTATGTAGCTGGTGAAAGGATTTTTGCTGTTCCAGGCAAACTAAAAAGTTAAGGTAGAGGGATAGATTACCATGGCTTGAGATACTGAGGTGGACATCAAAAACTGAACTCAATGTTCAATGTAATCCTGAGAAAGCTTTTAAAAAAAACTGCAGTTATTCTTTCCACAGTACTCTGTAGAGTGCTTCATGCTGCAGCACTGCAGCCAGCCATGAATCTCCACTATGGGGAGTGGGTGGCTTCCCATTCAGATAAGATGTCTTCCTGCTTTGAATTCAGATTCAGGTTGTGTGTCATTGTTAATATGGCCTCTACAAGAAGCCAACGCTTTACTCTAAGTAAGACATGGTGGAGTGAGACTTAACACACTCAAGTCCCTCTCCAAATGTGGGAACTGTTGTGATAGCTGGTGATGTATAGTGACATTCAGTGACAACCATTTGTGCTAAAATAGTCAAGTTAGATCATTTACAGCCAAACCTTCATCCATTCACGAGTGCTGCATTTGGCAGAATAATGGTGCAGAGCTTTATCTGGAAGATATTTCTAATAGTGCAGGTATATGGGAATGAATGTTTGAAAAAAATCAAATTTTTTCCTCTTTATTTCTCTGTTGATCAGGTTGGAGGCTATGTTGTGCCGTTCTTAGACGGATGCTGCAAAACATGTAAGTGATTAATGATACTTGCTGCCTCACGGGTCTGTTGTTACCTTAGAAATAAGGTGGATTCTTTCCTGCATAAAAGCTTGATTCACTTGTCTTGAAGGCTCAGTTGTACTCATGTGAATAACACTGAAACTAGTGGAGTTAAATCAAAAGAAAGTGCTTTAACATTGAAGTGTTTACTCCACCGATAGTGATTGTGGCTGGAAAAATGACTAAAATTCCTACCTTGACAATTTTGTTGTTCTTGTGTAAAACTCCTCAAAACATTAGTTCCTGCATTTAGTATATTAAAAGGTACTGTGTTTTAGAGGACACCTTAAAGCATGCGTCATCCACATTAGTATCTTCATATTTGGTAAAAATTTATATTGGTCTGTGCAGTTTGTAAGTTAATGTTGTAAATAATGGACAGACTGTAACATAGTCTTAGGTTCCATCAACAGACATAGTTCAGAATCTGTCAGGCAATATCTTTTAAAAGATTTTACAATTAAGAAGTCCCCCCTTATTTATTACTTATACATGGTTTTGACATCTGTGAGAGCAAATAAAGATTCTCTAGATAAGAAACAAAACCAGAATGAAAACTCTCTACAGAATAAATTCCAAATACACTGTTTCTTACTAGAAATAAAGAGCTGAGTATATTTTTTCTTAACACACTGCTGCATAGGTGAAACATTTTGGCTGATTTCATGAAGCACTTAGCCTTAAGCAGACACCTAACTGGATTAATTTAAACTCAAATACTTGAAGCTGACACTGTTAAAAGCAATTAAAAAGGCTGTTTTCATTTTTTATGCTGGACAGTATCATATTTTCTTTAAAAACATGCAAAAAAATGTGACTTAACTTGCATAAATGGCTAAATAGTGACCTAAAAGTGTAAGAGAGAAGCAAAGAAAAATGCAGATATTTCCTGCTGGGTGGTATGGAACTTGCACAATTGTGGCTACCAGATATGGTACCATGTGCACAGTTACTGCAGTGAGATATATGTTGCCAAGGGGGTGGTAACTTTACATGTTATTCATCTGTATTACATTTTGTAGCAAGAAGTTTATTGAAGCTGTGGAAGATTTATCTGTGTCTATTTTTTTCTGCTCCCACTGTAAGGGAATGTTAATATATCTTCATAGTTGGTTTTTTTTTCACTCTGATGGACCTGTGTTTCAAGCACTTGTCCTAGTTCTGTGGCTAATTCTCCACAGGCTCTCTGAGGTCAGTATTTGATTATCTGACATTACCCTTCAATGCCCTAGCAGCCAAATAAGGCATCTTCTGAATGATGTAGTAAGGCAGTTAAACATCCATTAAGCTGCTTTTCAGCAGGGCAGAAGATCTTGCTACTGCACTTAGAGAAAGATCTTAACTACACTCGAATTATTAAGACAAAAGTAAGTTGCTAGTCTGGGGCATGCATCATAAAGTAAAATCAACCTCCTGAGAAACCCTGTGACTTCTGAGATGCATTTACAAGTAGATTCCTAGAGTTTTTATTTCACACCTGTTTGTAGAGAACATAGTATTTCTCTCAATCATGTAGTTCATTCTGACTCCAAACAAATCTACTATGAGAGCTGTCTGCCAACTGTAACGCTGTGAGATCTTTTATATGAAGGATTGTCAGGAAGTACTTTACCATTAGAAACAATGGTGAATTTTGTTTTCAGTTTAAGTTGATATTTGCAAATTAAGACCCAGGAGTTCCATTAAAACCTAGAGAGGCTTTACAAATACTACTGAGATGAAATTATACTATAACTTTCTTGTAGCCCCAAAGGACACATTAAATTCAGGATACCAGATTGGCTGAGTTATACCAATGTAGATCAGATTCTTCCTGGTTTTCACATGAGGCTTAGCAATGCAAGCAGTGCCTGGACATGGTCCTGAGCTGCTGGCATTGTGAACCTTGCTTGAGCAGGGAGGCAGGACCAGATGACCTCCAGAGGTCCCTT